AAGGCCCTTATGAGACATATGATTTACAAACATTTTCTCCGTTATCTGGGCTGGCTTTTCACCTTCTCCATTGTATTCTTTGAAGCACAGAAGTTTTGATTTTGATGAAGTCAAACTTATTCATTTTATCTTTGGCCACTTGTGCTTTTGGTGTAATACCTAGGAATGCTTTGCCTTCCTAAAAGTCACAAAGATTTACTCCTTTGTTTCTCCTAAGAGTTTTATAGTTTTAGAGCTTATATTTGGGTCTTGGATTCATTTTGAGATAATTTTTTGTGTATGGTATAAAGAAAGAGTACAACTTAATTCTTTTACATGTGGATCTGCAGTTGTTGAAAAGATTGTTTTTTCCCCTTGTCAAAAATCAATGATCATAAATGTATGGATTTATTTTGGGGCAGTTAAATGTATCCCATTGATCTATGTATCTACCATTTCTGAGTCATTAAGTATGAACAGATTCAAATTTAGGAGGTAGTGTAAACAATTTTCCTAAGTGTTATTATCAATTTGCAACCTTGGTTGTAGCCTATGAAAGTGTCAGCAAATCATTCTCTCCATTACTTGGTATAGTCTTTCTTTTTCAGTTTAGACTTTCTGGTTGGTGTGTAGCAATATCTCACTGTTTTTACTGACTCATTTGTTTTTAAACCAATATTATTGAGGCATAAATGAGGGGCACTACAATGAAACCATTTTAGGTATTTTGAAATATAGACTCTTGTAACTATTGTCTAAATCAAGATACAGAAAGATTATTTCACTCAAAACATCCTTCAGTGTCCCTACCAGTCAGTCTCCCCCAACTCCAGAACCCCAGCAACCATTGATCTGCTTTCTCTTAATATAAATTAAATTTATCTGTCCTAAAGTTTCAAATAAATGGAAACATACTGTGTAAACTCTTTTCAACTGGCTTCCTTTTCTCAGTATAATGCTTTGAGAATGCATCCATGTAAGTGTATATGTAAGTATTTCATTTCCATTTATTACTGAGTAGCATTCAATTCACTTGTAGATGGATATCTGGGTTATTTCCAGTTCTGGGCTATTTTGAAAATAAAGCTGTTATGAATATTTGAGTACAAATATTTCTGTGAAGATACTTTTTATTTCTTTTGGATAAAAAGCTAAGATTGAAGTTGTTAGATCAAATGGTGTCTGTATGGTTAACATTATAAAAAATACTAAAACATTTTTCAAAGCAGTGGCACAATTTTATATTTCTAGCAACAATATAATAAGCATATTAGAGTTGCAATTTTTCTGTCTTTGGAAAATGTGGTATTATTTTGCAGTCTTTTTCAAATGGGCTTAAACTTCTTCTCAGTTCAGGGGGGTCTAGGCCTCTCAGTTGGCTTAGTTCTGGAAACTGGATAAGGAGGCTATAGATCCCCACTATAGCAACTCAAGTTATGTTTCCACCTCCCACCCTGGCAGCAAATCTAGAGGATATACAGAGGACCTTAGTAAATTGCCTCTTTCTCTCATTTCCAGATACTCCATGATTAATTAGCTCTGTCAGCAGATCTCTGAAGGTTAAAACACTCTGATTGAGACTCTTTCCCTCTGATTTATTTTGGTAATATCACTTACCTTCTCTCTGTCTGTTAAAAACTGCCATCTATCACCAGGATCCCATAATGCCAATTAAAATCAGGAAAGCAACTTATATAGCAATATCCTCTTTCTGTGCTCACTCCTGTCCCCATCATCTTCACCCTACATAAATTGTCTCCAAGTGACATTTTAAGGATTCTGGTGACTTACTCAACAATAATTTTCTCAATACATTGGTGAAGGAAGTGTCCTCTGGGATTCACAGGGACTGTGGTTGGCAAGCATATGATCAGATTGCACTTATAAATTCCATTGCAACATTTCTATTTCCCTGAATTTTCAGGCTTCTTCCTCTATAAGACACTCAGGAAGTATCTGCATTCCAATCTCATTAGCTGTAGGCCAATGGAATTCTTACTATCCCTATGGCCAAAGTGTATACAGAAAGCAGGGCATGTTAGAAAGTCACATAGACAGCCAACTTGAAGGTAGCTACCATCTTTGAACAAATGATGCAACCTACTCAAAGGGATCCCTCAAGAAGGGAACAAGGGATATGTACCCTGACCTCACTCAGTTACCTCTTTCAGATTTCTTCAGGGGACTCCTCATTGGCAGAAATCCACTAGAATCCAGAGGGAAAAGGAGCTGTCTTGATGTGATCCATTCAGATCAGCCTCTTTAGGGAGGAAAAAGATGGAGAGTTGATATGAGATGCAAATAGGACACTTTTAGTTGAGGATCTCTGTCTGGTCGTCTATTCTTTCGTTCACACCACAGTTGTAATTTCCTAGGCTTAACATTAGCTAGAGGAAGTCCTCCTTCTTCTTTCTTTCAGAGTGTCTAGAATACTTTTGAATGTTTTTTTCATATATATTTTAGAATTGGTTTTCTATGCACACATATACACAGACTGCTGAGACTATGGGAGATTTCATAGAACTTATTTGCCAAAGGTGAGAATTGACATTTTTGCGTTTACGCATCTTCTAATTCGTGAACATCGTATATTCTCACACTTATTTATAGCTTCACTTTTTAAAAAATTTGTGTTTTATGTATTTCTGTGCTGATGTCTTGTAAAATCATTAAAAAATATTTGCTCCTAAGTATTTTGCAGCCATAATATTTTAAGAGTATTTTTAAAAACATCATTTCTAATTTCTAGTTGCTTGCATACAAAATGTAATTTTAAATATCCTATTGCTAAACTGCTTTAGTAACGTAACATATTTGTAGATTATTGTGGATTGTCTATATCACAATCATATCTGTGATGAATATTATTTGTATTACTTGATTTCTAGTTATTAAAACTTTTATATCTTTTTCTTTCCTTTTTATACTGACTAGGACCTCCAGTACACTGTTTAATAGAAATAGTGCTTTTTGACTTCCTTGAAAGAAGGCATTTAACATTTCATCATGAAGTTTGGTGTTTCCTTTATGTTTGTAGCAAACACTCTTTACTAGAAAGAAAAAGCTTTTCTTTTATTCCTAATTTGCTGTAATTTACTTCTTTATCATGTGAAAATGTTTTTTACATATCAAATACTTTTGTGTAACTATTGAGATGATGAAATGATGTTTTTATTAATGTGCACTATTACTTTGATTGATTTAAAATGTTAAATAAACATTGCATAAAACCCAACTTGGTTGTGATATCTTTTTATATAAACCGCTGATTCTTTTGCTAATATTTTGTTTAGAAGTTTTGAATTTATGTTCACTGAGTGAGGTTATCCTACAATTTTGAAAAAATTTCTTTATTCAAGTTTTGGTATTAAGATTCTTGTATTCTTGTAAATTGCATCCTCTTTTTTTTCTGTATTTAAGTAAGTTTGGTGCACCGGTCATGTTATGATAGGTTATGGTGTCATAGTAATCCATAATCAGCTCCAAAATCTCAATAGCTTAAATAAACAGTTGTTTGTATCTTGTAATACATAGTTTACACTGAATCAGGTGATTCCCCACGCCAGCTATACTACAAATGACAACTAACATTTTAACCTCCACATCAACACACAATTCAACCGCCATCACAGTCCGAGAAAGCGGAGGTTGAAAGTTAAGCTGTAATTCAATGCCTCTATCATGAAATGACACATGTCATTCTACTCACATTTCTCTGGCCAAAGCGAGTCATAAGGCCACGTCAATCTTCAGGAGGCACACAGGTCTCCTGGGTTGCTGGAAGGAGAGGGGAACTAGATATTGATAAACAGTCCATAGTCAGCCTTTGGACTTGCAACCAAGAATTCATTTCCTCTCATCTTCCCGTGCAGAGGACAAGTACTCCTTCTCCAAGGGAAACAACTTAGGATCCCCTTTCATTGACTCCTGTTCAAAGGCGTGATCTCTGGTTGATCCCCTAGAGTCTTCCTCTGGTCTTGATGTGGCTCCTCTTGGTCTAAAGATCTTTGAAGAAAAACAAGCAGAAAACAAACAAACATAATAAACAAAAACAAATAAACCGTCTCCTGCACACACTCAACCTGCAGTTACAGAACAGTTACAGGATTATGTCGTACAAGGTTCTCTTGCAAAGAGAATGAAGAGAGACATACAGTGTTGGTTTGAAGCTAGTCTATGATCCCAGGAGGCATAGTTATGGCATTCCTTACCCCACTGTGATGAGACTGAGACTGTGCTTTATGCAAGGAACTCTCTTGCTCATTGTTTTTCACATTCTTTGGCTCAGTCATTTGGAATATTCTTCTTTCATTATCTGCTTTGGCCGCATGTTAAGGGCTATGCCTTCCCTGGGGGATAGATTTCTTAGCCCATTCTCTGCTTGGGTTTCTTAAAAGCTGAAGAATTACTTTGACTCTCTAATGATCATAGTTTGTTTTAGTCAAAGCTGCTTTTCACTATACAGCTCTTTCAAAAGATCAGTTTCCTTTTGATCTATTTGAGTCCAGTAAGAATCATCATATATTTATGTATTAAAACACATAAAAATAAGTTCAGATATTTATAAAATTTATGTATATATAAATAATGAATTAACAAAATGAATTATTATATTTGAAAGAACTATAAAAATCAGCCTGATAATGGAAGAGAAAATGGTTTTCAGTGCTATTTCATATCTGAGAATCTAATCATTCAAGATGATAATTAGAAAACTACTCTTCACTTTCCTGAAATAAATGGATTCATTCAACCTAGTTGTTTAGGAATAAGTTGAAAACCCAAGATATAAACATAATACCCGGGAATCTCAGGGAAGAATGCGGTTTTATACACTGAGATCAAGCATGGGAACATTTTTTATAGAAGGAGAGTTTACATTAGAAGGTCTCAACTGTGCTTCCACAGTGCCTGCCTTCTTCCTGTCTGTGGTTCCTGGGTTTTTCCTAAACCTCTGAGCAGGTGGCAGACTTTATGGGGCTCTAAGGTTTTTGATTATCTTCCACTGTAATTTCTGTTACCGTGGGATCCAGAGAGCACAGAAGTACATCGCTGAGTCTGCCGATTGTAAGGAAGAGATGGTGAGGCTGATTGATTTTTGTGTGCTTTGAAAGTTCACGGAGAAGCGGCCCTGCTTTGCACTTGGCTTATAATAATCCTGATAAATAAGGAAAACCATCTCTCCACTGGGAGGCAGTTTGTACCAGTACAAGTCATAACTGGTCCAACTGATTTCATACTTGCAGTCCATGGTCACAGCTTCTCCTTCCTGCCTTGTTATTATGATCTGAGCTTGGGTTACTTTCTGAGCCATGCTGGATCCTGTGGAAAAGGAGAAGACAGGGTTGGTCCTCTGAAATGTCTCAGATGGGCCATAGGAACTAGATTCATTTAGGACACAAAGACAGTGAAAAGAATCACATGGTGTTTCATTTCCCCACGTCTCTTCACTCTTAATACCCCCACCAGTTACAATTTGCATAGTCCCTTCCTTGAGATCTAAGAGGAAGCTGAGGTCCCATGTTTAGGGCCACACTTACTGAAGCCAAAAGAGACCAGGAATGCCCACAGGAGGCCAGGGTAGAGCATGATAGAAATTCTTCTGGTTGAAATTTCTCTTGTCCTCACTCAAGTCCAGAGACCAGCCCTCCTCTGAATGCCTGAGTGCAGAGTTTCTGGGGTTATTAGAAGTCTCTGCCCCCAAACAGGAAGTCAAGTTCATAAGTAGGATGCTACTCTGCCCTGTTCAGAGTCCGGAACATCTGCCCTACCCCAAACCACTGTCTTGTCTGTTTGTTCTGTGGCAACACATTTGAAAAAAGGCTATTATATCTAGAAAGACACAGGAATAAGTTTTACTGTCTTTTCGTTATTGAATTCTTCCTTAATACCATTGTGATCAGAGGGGTTTTTTTGCCCTATAAAAGAGTTGATGAGCTTTTTTCTCTAATTTGAAAGGCTCATTTAAAATGGCTACTATTTTCCCTTGCAAAAGGAGTATTGGGAAAAACTGAGACAGTTCATACTGTAGCTCATGCGTATACAGCCCTAAGAGGTAGGAAAGAGTTGATTGTATTTTGGGGCAAAATCGCAGAACTCTTGAATAATGTCACTGAACCCAGGGTGCACCCTCTCACCGAAACATTTCCCAGTTATTTCTGGTAAGCAGACTTCCCTCAGAGGAGAGGGCAGAACAGAGTTAAATGTTGCCATCCCTTTCTGTTCATCCTGCTCAATCGTTAGAACTGAAAACAGTGTCTGGCACAGAGCAGACAGTCAGGAAATATTTCTTGAATGTAGAACAGTTGCAATGCAAAAATGCTTTGCAGGAATTCCTCTGGTTGCTACTTGATTTGTTGTTTGCATAACCAAGCACCTTTACTCTAAACATGGACTTCACAGAGGACATCGGATATAAACTTTACATGATGAATATATATTTTATTTGTTAAATTGGTATGAATAAAGGTACGTGATACAAATTAAAGCAATAAGGCATACAAACAAGACACACCTAGAATGAAAATACTTATAGTGAATGATTATCTTTGGGTGGTGAAATTTTGAATGATTTTAATTTTTCAATTATATTTTCTATATTTTCAAAACGTTCATAATAATCATGTGTTGATTTTATGATAATCTTTTTTTCTGAAGGTCACCTTTTTCTGAATTGTCGCTCAGAAAAGTTTTAGGTCTCCTGGATACATTATGGGAAGTTTAGGATTTCAATGAGAGAATCTCAAATACCCCAGTGATGTTATCTTCACAATTTACATACCTGCTTAAAACACCATTACTTCTCCTGGAGATCATGTTGGAGTTAATACAAATTGCAGTAGTTCATCTTGAGCTTTTTGAGAACTGAAATTCTAATAGTCACAATGATTAGATCTCTGCGTTCATTTCCAGTTGGAAACAAGCACATTATGACAAGCTGTTCTAACCCAAAACCTGGTCAAGGACAAAACGTCTGACTGCAGCCCCCATGCACACAGGGCCTGTGTGTTTGCTGCACAGAAGCACAAGCCTGAGTCTCCTGATTGAGTGGCTGTGATAGGCAAGGAGACACACTGAACCTTTTATTCAACAGTACTGTGAATCTGCTGTCTTGTTTTTGTCCACATTTGAATGAATCAATTAGAAGAGTAGAGTCTTTCTCTGCTTCCTCCTTGTACCAAGAGAAACAATTCAAAGCCCCATCTGTATACCTGCAGGTTATAACAGCCGTGTTTCTCTCCGAGACATTCAGGATCGAAGGACTGTGCATTATATACTTTTTTGTTCACTCATCACCGTTGAGGCAATGAAGATGGGTTACTGGGTCATTTGCAGAATTTACCTTTTGTTTCTGGAGTCTCTACAGGAAAATTGAAGAGAACCAGAACGACCCTCTTCCTTCCCCAGTCTCACAATGGACCCTCCCAGAAGCCCCTGCATTTACAGTAGCAACATGTATGACAAATCTTGGACAGACAAAAATGTTAATAAGAGACATTCTTTTTCACCAGCCTCCTCACAATAATACCTAGTTAATAGAAGCACATGAATAAACATCTTTTAAGGCTAAACTCCATGCAGGTAAAGGATTGAGAGAAGGTACTATAACAAAAGTAAGAACGGTGGTTTGCTCAGCTGAATATGGCTCTGACAGTGGTGTCCAGACATGTCATCTCTAGGAATAAAAAGAAGTAAGTAGAAGACCTGGAAATAGGGGGTTCTACGATAAAGCCACCCTTAAATTAAGTATCAAAGTTTTCCTGAAACAATCTTATTGCTTCAGGAGCTGCTGAAAGTGTAGTTCCTCGAACTACTGTTAATTTGTAGAAGTTATTGATGCTATTGTGATTATGTTAAAAAGGAATCTCTATCTTTTAGAGTACTCCACCCTGGACTTCTAGCTCCATCCTCAACTTGAAGCTGTCCCTGAATTCCTGAAGAATAGAGAGGACCTCTCTCTATCTCTCTATTTGTTCATGCTTCTCCACCAACAATAGACGGCTGTTTGTTGTTTGGCGCTGGCTAGGCTGATTGTGTGGGCAGGTGGATTTCTGTCTTACCTAGTTCCTGCTTCAATCTTTGGCTGGTCCATGTGTCTGGATCTCAGATTTTGGATTTTCTCAGTATTCGTGCCTCTCCTCCCCATGGTGACAAAACACTACCGTCTTTCTCTGTATGTCTTGTGCAAGAGATTTTCTGTCTCTTTCTCAGTGGTGGCAGAATTATAACAGAATTGTTATAGGATCATTAGCTCAGAATGGTTTCCTGCCCCTTACACCAAGGTAGAGGCTGTTTTCCTTGACTCCTTTCTACTGCAATTGATCATAACTGTGCTTGAGTAGGGTGTGCGTGTGTGTGTGTATGTGTGTGTGAAAAAGACAGAATTTGCTGTCACCTCTTTATCCCCATTGGCAATAGCTTCAGGCTTTTGCTTCATGGGAGAAACTGATCTAGGCAAGGTGTTGGGATATGTGCTCTCCTGCAATCACAGCAGATCACATCCTGCAGGCCTATATGTCTTATGTGGCTCCCTCTGTCACCCACTCAGTCCCCAGTCATTTTTGTGAACACACAGTGGAGGTATATGAAAATGTCCCTATCAGTGAGTTCAATCTCCTCTTGTGTCGGTGACTGCCAGCAGTTCTATAATGTCATGAAAGCCCTAACTCCATATTTTAGATGATTTCTCTTTCTTGCTTTTACGGCAGCCAGCTCCTCTTTTACCCATGCTCTGCTAAAGTTGTGCCAGTCCATATGCCTGTCTCTCTTTGGAGAAGCCTCTTCCTCGTTGGAATCTAACCTACTTGGTTGCCCTCTGCCCTCAGGTATCTGAAAGGTTAAAGAAAAGCTATGATTTTGGTGTTTATCTAGTTTTACATGTTAGGATGGAAGCAACAATCTTTCATGCTTTATATATCCTGGGAGGAATTGGAACTCTGTCCATCTTTTATCGTGTATAAAATTGAAATAGTGATATCAAGAATGCAGCCTTCTCTCTGAAACATAGGAAGTGCTGCAAAACATATTGACAATATAAATCACAGTTAATTGAAATGGTTCCTTCCTATTCAGGCAGAGAGGGAGGGCACTGTTTTACCTTCTGCTGGTTTATTTTGACTTATATGGGTCACTAAGCCCTTTTTAAAAAGAAAGAAAAAGTTGAGTGAATTTTATATTTTAATTTTAAGAGTCTCAGAGAAACTAGAGTCTTCATTGGGTCGTTCCAGATCGGGGAACAGGCAAGCTCCTAAGAGCATTGTTACTAATTCTGTGGCTTCAGCTAGGTTGTGAATCGCTGGTGTAAATTTTGACGCGATTAGGAGAAATCCCAAAGAAGATTACAAGGCTGAGGAATCGGATAACTGTAGTTTACTCTGGTCCAGATAGGTTCTCTTTGGGATCCTTAAAATGGGTTTTTAAGATGAGATTGTTGATATTAGAGATACCCAGGAAACATTTTCCCCTTTTTTATTCACTTTGGTCTTCATCTGAAGATGATGGGGAGAAACATTTTGTAATACATGTGTGTGAACTTGGACATAGACATTTCGCTTAAAACAATTAGAAGCAATGGAAGGATTTTACATAGGGAGTAGTTTTTCAGTCTTGAATGAAGAAATGATTGACTGAACCAATGAGAGTAAGTATCCAACAAGCATGGCAATCCTACTTCAGTTCAGGCAGATCAATTTTCTGGGGAGGAGTGTACAAACTGTCCAGCAATAGACAACAATCAAGAAAGAGTTGAGCCTTCATGTATTCTGTTTTTTGGTCTGACAAGTTAACAAATCCTTAGTAGAGGGCGTAGGATTGAGAGGAAAGGAAGTTAAGGATTAGGCACTGTGTCAGGTGTACAGCCACATGAGATAGAGTCCATAGCATTGTCAGCAGAGGATTCCTAGGAGAGATTTCTAGGGAATTCCCAAGGCACGGTAAATGACTCTTGGAGTTGAAAGACTAGTCCTGTGGACTTGACCAAAACAGCTGGGAAGGAGGTGACTGAATAAAGGAATGCTGTAGTTTAGAAACTGCAGTCTCATTTCTTTCGCTTTCATGAACTAAACGGGAGGCTGCAAGATCAACTTCAGACCTTAGCATCTGTAGCAGCACCTCCTCACATACAACCTTATCAGTGTGGTTAACCAAAGCTTGTGAGGGGCTGTGTCTGTAGGGGGACCCCAATCAACAGACCCAGCTGCAGGGAGCATGAGAATCAACGGGAAGCTGAGCTAAACTGGAGTTGGCAAGGGTTAGAGTGAAATGTAGCCAAGGAGATAGGAAAATGTGTTTGATCCAGAATGGGCTACTATTCTACGTGGTCCAATAGACTCCAGTCTATAATCTCAGCCAAAGTTGCATTTTTCTGTCAGATTTTAGGTATCTCAGTATATAAACCTCTATTTTATGTGCTTATTTTTTTCTGGGGTCTTCCATGGTATCCTCCCCAAAAGATTGAATTGAGCAGGTATAAAATCTGGAACAACCAAGTGTGATTTTAAAATGCTGTCCTTCATATGTTGCATTTTTATGGGATACTCCATGAGAAGAAATAGAAATACGATGATATCTTAGGAGTATGTCTTTTACATGTGGTCCTTTGTGGTCTCTGAGTCAGCTGTGGGGGAGTGCTTCTTAGGATGAATTCACCAATTTCCTTTCTAGATCTCATCTTATGCACCTTAACCACTAACTGCTAAAACATGTCTGGGTAAGGTTTGTGAGTCTTCCCTGAGAATATGGGAATAAGCAATTATCTCAGGTTGACTTATGGGCTTTTTGTGAGGCTCTTCTACCATATTCTTTTTGTAGTGGGCTCTCTGAGACAACAGATATATGTTGCGGAGTCTTCTAGCTGTGATGAGCCTGATAGTTTTAGTTGCTTTCTGGAATTTCACAAAATATCAACCCTGTGTTGAACAAATTTCTGCATCTGTGTGCTGAGAATTGAGGAAACCATCTCCTCACAGGAAGGCCTCTTTTGTACCAATACAAGACATAATATACAACTCTAGTGTCATCCAAATCATCTAGTTGTACAATCTTGCCCTCATGCCTGCATGTTGGTGGTTGAGATTGAATGAACTCTGGGACATGCTGGATCCTGTAGACAGAAGAAATAATAAGACTGATCTTCTGAGCTGAACAATCAGGGAGTTGCCAAGAACTTCTAGGGCAGGAGTTAAATCTTCAGTCAAGGTGGTGTTAAAATCTGGTTCCTGTCCTCTTCCTTCTAATTTTCCTGGAATGTTTGTTACAGTTGGCCAGTGTTCATCCCTCTGCCATTCCCTACTATCTCCCCTAATCCCAGACTGTTCTCAGCCTCACTATCAGCCACTGTCCCTACCAAGGAAGACAAAGGCCATCTCTTCCCACAGTATGCTGAGAAGAGTCATTTTGGTACTACTGTCTTTAGATAAACATCTCCTGCTCTGAGCCTGGGGCTGAGTCTCATTCAATTCTCTGTAAAACTCCACCTAGAATTGTTGGCGATGGGCATGGCAATCGTCTCAGAACAGCAAATCAGTTTGCTGGGGAAGGTGTGGGATGACTCCTCAGATCGTATCCTGCTCATACTGGCGCAGATTAAGATGAGCCACTAGACATGTTTAAGATAGCCTTTTTCCCCTCATAAAAGTTGCTTACTTGTTCTGCAGAATTTTGGGACCATGTAAATTTATTCCCAGATTTAGATTGACACTAAAAAAATGCCATATCCATGTTTTCTTTTCCAAATGAAGAAAAGATTTTAAACTAAAATGCAGAGACAGTTCTGTATACTTGGAAAAAATGTATTAAAAATAAATAATAAAATGGAGTTAATAATAATATATGTACATAGTTAAGTAATACATGCTATATAATAAAATGTATAATATTTATCATGTTATATTATAGTATTATTTTTTCCAAGCCAATCTCTGCTATTGTGGAATATATATATGTATATACACACACACTCATATATATACACACAATATATGTAAGGTGTATTGTGATTAATATGGTGAGAATCTGAGACTGACTTTGACCAATTTGGTGTTGCAAGTTATGACAGAAGCAGAGGTTTAAAAGATGCTTTCATGTTTCAACTCTTGCTCTTGCTCCTCCATGATTTCCATGAGAGTATGGCTGACGTAGGCTGCTGGAGGATGAGGCAGATGGAGAAGAGCTGAGAATTTTCACTTATCCTAGACAAGGCCATTCTACACCAACCAACAGCCAGTTAATCTCAGACATGAGTGAGCTCAGCCAAGCCCAGAAATACTGTTCAGCTGAGCTGAGTCTAAATTGCCAATTCACACATTTATTAGTGAAATAATTTATTGTTTTTAAGCTTCTGAGTTTTGTAATTATGCATCATTATTGTAACAATAGCTAACAGAGACAGCAGGTGTTATGAGTGCTTAATTGAACAGTATATGTTGTTGTTACTGAACCTGAAGTGAGTTCGCTCACCCGTTGCGCAGCAAGCCAATCTCTGACACCAGGTGTGGTGGAAGAAACTAGGAATTTTATTTTTGCACAGCACTGAGCAAGGAGAGAGGGCAGCTAACGCTGAAATCCCAAACTCCCCAAAAAGCTAAAAGGAAGGGTTTTTGTTTGGGGTTTTAGGTAGGGGAGGGGGAGCATATGGCCTTGCTGGTCGGAGCTTTCCCACCAGCCTGTCTTTGGCCTTGAGACTACTTGCAGACAGGAGGGAGCTCATGACCTTGCTGGTCAGCAGCTTTCCCACCAGTCCGTATCTCTTTGCGGGAGGAGATAGTCCAGGTGATTGTCCTTGACAGTGTCTGTCTCCATGGAGGATAATGGATTCTGGAGCCAGGAAGCCAGAGAGTAAGCAGGGAATGGGTGTTTTGCTTTTAACCCCATATATGCTGGGTTTAATGTGGGGAAACTGATATCAGGGTAGACATCATTGTGGCCTTGAGAAAATAAGAATACCTCACATTACAGTGAATAGGTGGGTCCTCCTGTGAGCTCTGTATTGACTCCATGATTAGATTTCTCATGATTACAGAGATCTGGGATTGCTGAGCCCAACCAAAATGGAATAATTACTGAAACAGTTTCCTGTGCAATATATAGGGCTTCCTAACTCAGGGACCACTTTGGACAGACATGTGATTTTACTTTTAGGAATATGTTAGGAACACTTTTAGCTTTCTGGTGAAGAAGAATTAGGAGAATGTTCCTCTACAGATATCACACGCACACACACGTAGACACTGCACTACATGTACATTATGTACACAAGTTGTCTCTTGGTTGCTCAGGAGAGCCACGATGTCTCATCCTATTACTCTTCTTTGTTTCTGATACTTGGCTTGTTTTTTTTATTTTCAGCTTGAAATTCTATATTTAAGAGACTGAGAACAATTCTAGTCATGAAGAAGAAAAAATATTTCATAGAAATTCAGGTTGACTGATTTTCTTGTATTCATTACATAAGTGAAAAGAATAAAACCAGTGGTCAGGAAATGTTTGAGGTGAATGGAATCATATAGCCATTGGGCTGCAAGGAAATAGATTTACTATATTTATAACCCACATTCACAGATGAATCAATCTGAGTGACTAATAGAATTGGCAAAAGTCATAAAAGTTGACAGTGGAAGTTGGAATATAAAACATCAAGTTATTTTTTATGAGTTACATTCATTTCATTACCACTCCTTTAAAGAGAAGAGGAATCTCATGTAGGTGACTTTGCCAACTAGATCACTCAAGTCTGAAGCTGGAAACTGCTTGTACTGTTGATTCACTGACAACCTACTGGAGATCTCTGATTTAATCAACGTTTGGGATATTTCGCATATCTTCTAACTTCTTGTGGTCCTAGAATGACCTAGGCATGTTTCTTCACTCTCAACTTGGAGCTGCATCCTGAATGTTCAATGCCATATATCCATTGCAACTGAGAATCAGGATGGCTACGAATAGCAAGATCTTTTTTTTTTATAAAGATTTTATTTTTTCCTTTTTCTCCCCAAAGCCCCCCAGTACATAGTTGTATATTCTTCGTTGTGGGTCCTTCTAGTTGTGGTATGTGGGACGCTGCCTCAGCGTGGTTCGACGAGCAGTGTCACGTCCGCGCCCAGGATTCGAACCAACGAAACACTGGGCCGCCTGCAGCGGAGCGGGCGAACTTAACCACTCGGCCACGGGGCCAGCCCCCCAATAGCAAGATCTTTATAGTTGAAAAGCTTCACGACATGCCTGTGTTTGTTATTATGATCCACAAGGCAACACTTTTTACTGATGGACAATGTGTCAAATGCTTCGACGTCTTCCTGGGAAAGAGAATGTACAGTAAGTGATTTACTGAAGCAAAGCCTAGAAGTAACTTATAACTGAAAAAATAGATAAATGTGACTTCTAATATACACTTCCTCAAATGATTTTACTGTAAAGCACAGTTATCCAGAAACAAAAATCAGGAATTATTGTGGACAGAAAAATGCAGCACATGATTGCTGATACTCAAAGGCACACATTCACTGGGAGAACTTGAAGCGGAACCCTGGCTTCACCCTCCGCAATGTCTTTTCCTCTAGGATACAGGGGAAACAGGGTATCCTCATTCCAGGAGCTAGTGGGAACAAAGCATCACCAGAGATTGGTGCTTTGACTAAACCAGCAACCTCTCTCTGAAAGTAAAAATGGAGAATGGTTAGACTCTTGGACAACCCAAGGCTCAGGGAATGTTCTTAACTCATTTGTAGGACTTGTCACATATCAGTCTTCCTTAAAGCTCAGCTTGCTCACCTACTTTAAACCACACCCTCTCTTCCTGCCATGTGTAAATGGAAGCAAGTGTGTGTGCCTCTCAGTCTGAGACCCCAAAGGAGGTATTGGCTTGGACCCAGCTTCAGGTTTGTGTACAGGCTGCAGGTGCCTGGAGAGCACTGTGCACTTGCTGCGCAGAGGTACAAGGCAGAGTCTCCAGGCCGGGAGGCCGCAATGTGCAGAGAGAGGTGTTTAGTACTTTTGTTGAGGAAGACTGTGAATCTTCCATCTTCATTTTTATCCATACCTAAGGGTATTGATATCAGGAGTGCAGGACCTTTAGCAGGGTATTTTCTGTACCATAGGAAGTAATCAAATAACTTATTATTGTAGTCACAGTTCAGAATAGAAATTCCTCCTTCTTGCACACTCACAGATGGAGAATTTTGCTTGACCTGTTGCTGGTCACCATTCTTCTGTTGGCTATTAACCCCTGTTGAGAAGAAAGTAACAGGTTTTAAATTTTATTCTTATAGTCCACACAGAAAACCAACATGAGCCAGAAAACATACCAAAACAAAACCCGCCATTATCTCATCTCTAACCTAGTAGTGTTCTTTGGAGTTTTTCTACCATATTCAAACCTCCCACCCACAACTCACAGTATGGCTGAAGCCACAGAATCCACAATGATGCCCCCAGGAGCCTGCCCATTTCTCCTGTGAAGACTCAGGTTGTCTTTTCTGCTGCCCAGGCGATCGTAAATGTGATTTCAACTTCCTACCCTTCATTCATTTCTTTTCACGGAGCCCTCTTTTTCACATGTAAACTGTTCTGTTTTTAGCTAAAGCATTTGTCTTTATGAAAGGAAGCACTGCCCCCTTTAGTCCACATGTGGAAAATTTCTGAAAATGTATTTCCATATTTCTAAAGATCAATTTGCAATCTTTTCCCTAGAAAAGAATTAAAATAAGAGACTGTAAAATAATAAGGATTTGAGATCATAAAATAATTCAAAAATTTACACATATTTTTGCAGTAGTAAAAAATGGTAACTGAGGATATAGAGAATTATAGAAGGTCAAATGATCGGCACTTTTTCAACTGCCATTCATAGGAAGCCACTCTATTTAAAAATATTAATTAGAATTGGTGTTTACTGGGGACACATTAAGATACGATGTTTTATTTAATACAGTGGTTACAAGGTTAGAACGAAGACAGTCTATTGGTTTTGCCTTTAATGTAATTGGATTCTACCACGGTCTGCAGAGGAGTCCGTATTTACTCTGAATAAATAAATGCCGAAATAAATCAGGTGCAGATTCTGGACAACTCACTTAAAAACACAAGTCAATGCAGAAAACTTTGTCTTCTGTTTTAAACCACCTTCTGTGCTGCATTATCCCTCTTGGGACTTGGATGAGATCAATTATTCAGCGTGTTCTGTATTCTCAAATGAGGAACAATGACATAATCCTATAAAATCTATAGACAATATGAGGCCATAATCTTGAAATTTAACAGGAGATCCCAAAGAGGCAGCATATTTGTTGGGCTTCATTCTTGCTCCAAATCTAGTAGATTTCTCCACAGTTTAATCCAATGGGAGAGGCAAGGAGAATCTATTGTGCTTTCAGTGCTAAATCAGTAGGGCAACTAATGATTGTAGCTAAGGATAAATCCTCAAACCATTTTTGGAATTAATTTGAGCAAAGACACAGAATATAGAATAAAATAAATTCCGATGTATATTTTATATGAAAGTAATGTTTATAAATTTTATTTGAATAATAATGAAACATATTCTGGGAAATCAGAATGTCATTAAGTCCACACTAACTGTCCAATTCAGGACAATATGATGAATTGTCAATGTTTAATATTACAGTTTAAACCCATAAAATTAAGACTTTCCTTTGAAGAAATTTTCACTGATTCACTCATATGTTTGTAAGTTCAATCAACACTTATTTAATTTTTATGAGTTACCAGGTACTGTGCTTGGTTTAAGGTTTCAAACATGACTGTGGAACAGTCTTCAGTCTTAAACACATGGTTGTCTAAATACAAAGACAAATGTGTAGCTACATCCTTATAACATGGGATGATGTATAAGAGTTTTTAACGAGGAACATATATGGTGATCAACCAGTTCTACTGAGGAGGGTAACAATGCGGAATCAGGGAAGACCTCACAAAAGCAGAGCTCTTTATCTTGATTGTAAGAGACTAAGGAAGACTGACAAATTGGCTAAGTAGGGAAAGGTATGAGTAACTCTCCACAAAGGAAGAAAAGAAAGAGAATAGTTTTATTGTTGAATAAGCATTAAACTAGCACTTAATGAGCATCACAGGCAATTCGTTAGGCAGATTTCAGAGACAGAAAGAAATTTTACCCCTTTATATAGCCAAGAAGATGTATTTTCTCATTACATACATTTTCTCAAGATAAACAATAACTAGTCCTCAAGGAAAAAGACTTGGCAGCACTGTTTGTCATAGTTCTCCTCCTCAGTTTAACTGGTAATAGAGGAAGCCACCTGTGTTTGCTAATTGCCTTTATCTGAAGGAAAAAATTCTTATATCTTTATGACAGGAGGCAAGTTTGGGACTTAGAGCAAGGTGCCCGCTGAGTCTAGGTTCCGCCCCTCCCACAGAGACTGGAGACGGGGTGCTATTACATTTCAAAGAGATGACTCCAAAGTGCTTGAGGAAAACATTCCTGGACTGTAAAACCTGCAAGAGGCTTATTTATCTTTTTTAAAGATTTACATACATCTCAAGAGATGAGAAAGAATTCATAATTACAAGTTGTCTAAAGTAAATACTCTAAGAAGATGAAGAGGGAGCATGTCTTTCTCTTGTATTACCAGGGAGAATTAAAATTATTTTTCTTATTTTTAATTTATATTTGCCCTTACAATCTACGAAATGAAGGAGTTCCACGTTAAACATTCAGGGGATGACTTTGGAGCAGTTTACTAAGGTAATATAAAGTTAAAAACAAGAAAAATGAATAGCCTTTAGAAGCTAAAGGTGAGCAAAATCTAAGACTACAGTTATTAGTTACTTGCCTGGAAACTGATACTGTCTACTATTAAAAGACTTAGGATGAAAAACTGAATTCCACAGTCTCTCATGAGTATAAGAAATTGATGGGAATTTAAAAATGAAGGCTCACTGAATGGAAGACGAAGGTGTTTTTCTTAATAAAAAATTACAAGAACATTAATACTTCAAGAAATACATCTGATCAATATAAATGCAGGTCCCTTCTTTGCATAAACACAGCACTGTGTTCATATATTTTTTCTGCACTTACACATGGAAAGTCACAAAGTCATTCTATGTCAATCCTACCACAGTTAGGGTTGCGTTTAGCTGCAAGTAACAAAAACTCAACCAAATGATGGTTTATTAAAATTTTTCATGCAAAAATAAATCTGGAGGTGGGACTTGACTTGGCATCTAGAGAATGACCAGGCATGGGACTAGGGAGGGGTTTCTGCTTGTGCTTTCTTTTGTGGTAAAGTTGTCGCTTCCATGTTTCAGCAAGGAAACAGTTGGAAAAGGGGACAGGAAACTGTGGTGCCTGTGTCAGGAGAGCAAATACATCACAGGAAATCCCTAGCAGTTTTCTGATTAGGTCTCATTGGTCAGAACTGTGTTATATGCAACCCCTAGTTGTCAGAAAGGATGTGGAATATAGTATGAGTTGTTTTTTAAAGCTGGGGATATAGCTGTGCAAATCAAAATCAATAAGGAAGGAGAAGAGAATGGTGATTAGGTTGGCAACTCAAGATGTCTGCCTTCCTGATTAATAAAGTGGGGATTCAGAAGATTAGGTAGAGATTAACTCATTCCTCCTTGAGGAGTCAGTGGAAATTCCACAGTAGGGATAACATTTATTTAGAGGCACTAATAATAATATTATTTACAGGGTGTTTATTGAGAACATATTTTGTACTGTGACTTCACATAATTTTCTATATTTTATAATTTAATTCATAGCAACTCAGCAAGATAGGTGTTCTTATTAACATAGATTTATAAGGAAGCTCAGATGAAGATAAATAAATGCCCAAGGACACAGAGCCAGAAAATTGCAAAGACAGGATTTTACCCTGGGTTATTTTGACTCCAAAACCCATGTGCTGTGTATTAGATCATCTTGCTTTAGAGAACAAATAGGAATTCTTCAAGTATAAAAATGAGCCAGTGGAGGGCCTGCCAGGTGGAGGGAACTGTCAAAGTCTATCTTTTTCAGCCTTGAAAGTTTGAAATTCTTGACATCTGTCATTCAAAATCTAATCCCCAAGTGAATCCTGTGCAAATGCAGGCTATTGTAGCTGATGTTTAAGCAGTTGCAGAATCACCAACTGGGGATATTGCTTTGGAATCATAGTTGGATGTTATTGAAGTATACTTTGGGCATCTTTCTGTCAAAAGAAATGTTAGCAACTTTCTTCTTTTACTATACTCTAGTTTAATAGACTGGAGACATAGAAATTTCATCAATTCCTGAGAACTAGAATAAAGTTGAGAAATCATCTATTTTTCTCCCCTTGTGCTAACCATTCCTGGCCGTGGTCTTTAGGAAAATGGAATGACTAAGAGGAAATATGATGCACTGTCTAATATTTTCCATATGTCCCTCCATATCAACTACTTTCATCACCACACTGCCTACACTGGAGGGCTGTAGACACATACTTTTACTGGTTCAAACAGTGAGTTACATTTCCATAAGTTTATCTTATAACAAAGGGATCTTGTTCTCCAGTGTATGTAGGAAAGTTTCGGAAAAAGCATTGGAAATGGTTCTATGAGTGACTAAGGTTGTTATCATTTCTCATGCTAAGAGATATGTCAGGAGGAGCTGGAGGAATGTGGCAGCAGTGTGACTGGGGCCCTGCAGCAAGGTGTGGGTGCAGGCAGCAGGTGCCCCAGGAGCACTGTGCCCCTGCGCAGAGGTAGATGCCTGCATCCCTGGGTGGGCTGCAGTGATGGGAAGGCAGCTGTCGTTTCTTGCCTTACCAAATTGAGCCTTCAGCCTCTTCTGTTCTTTTATTTCCCCACTCTTAGCTAACACCATAAAGAAGACGGGCTCCTCCCTGTACCATTGAAAACTAGTAAAAATGCTTGAGGAGTTGCAGTCCACAGTGAAATTTTCTCCCTCCTGGATGCTTAGAAACTGAGGACTCTGCTCCAGCTGCTGGGTGCTCTCCCCTGTTCAGAAACAAAGAAGGCATCAAGAAAGGGAATTAAGACCTTGTCTCAATCTGAAATGATTTTTCCTCCCTCCTTCCACCCTTCTCCCTCCCCCACTCTCTCCTTTTCTCCTTCCTTCTTTAATTCTTCCTTTCAAGCTTTACCATAAAATAACCTGCCCTGCAGGATTTTCCTTCTCCTCAGGATTTCCTGTTCACGTAATTGGGAGCTTCTCAAACTCGCATGCCAATTGAATCCAAAGAAGCAACACTAAGAATTTCAGGAGCATCTTTTCTTCCGAATATCATGTGGTCACACTGGTCACTGACTGTAGCTGCCCTTTGAAGATCCCCTCCTGAAAGAGGCTTTTTTGGGCTAGAGTAACACTTGCCACCCACTTTGATCTAAGTAAAATGGCAGAGACCTCTGGGTGGCAGCCAATTGAATCATTCACCCTCCACCCTCCCCTTCCTCCAATCCCCAACTCTGTTTTGACTCTGGGAAGCATTTTGCCTTTTGAAATACTCCCCTCCAGTGAAGGGATAGAAAAATGATTTATTTTCAATAATGCTTATGTTTCTCCCAATTTCCTTTGGTATGTACAAGTATTAAGATCAAGTAGAGTCTAATGACCTTATTC